GAAACAGAAAATTAGAATCACAGAAAAAACTCATCTTGGCAAAAATGAAAATGTAGAGGCTATCACCTCCAAAGTGATGGGGCAAGGATATCACAAGGATACGGGGCGAGGCCAGCTCCAAACTCTGCTGGTGGGAGTGAGTGTTGGCAAAACCAGAGGGCGAAGTCTGGCAATGTCTGGGAGGGTGAGAACATGAATCCCCTGTGACTCAGCATTTCCGTTCCCAGACATGCATTTACTTTAAATAACCCCACACTTGGGGCCCAGAGGATGGCATAAAAGTGTTTCTGCAGTCATGTTCAAATTAGCAAAAACAGACACATCCCAAATGCCAGTCAACACAGACTGCTTCAGAGCAGCCCAAATAAATGAATGAAGAGCCCCATGCATTAGCGGGAGAATCTTCAGAACAACGTGGAGTGTGAAAGCAAGTTCCCGAAGAATACCTCCGCAATGATTCCATGTAGATAAAGCACGACAAGGCAAAACGAATTAATATATTGTTAGGGGAGTCAGACACAAGGTCAAACTGTCATAGATGTGAGGGGTGATAAACTCTGAATCCCAAAGAATGGTGGGGTGGGGAGGACCTGAGGCAGGAGAATGGGGAGCACATGGGACCTCAAATATGCTGGCATGTCCCCAGTACTTAGAGTGAGCAGGGGATACAGTAAGGGTGTATATGTCATAATTACTCAGATATCTTAAACATGCTTTTGTTGTTCTTTTTCTTTTCTTTTCTGAGACGGAGCTTTGCTCTTGTTGTCCAGGCTGCAGTGCAATGGCACCATCTCAGCTCACTGCAACTTCCGCCTCCTGGGTTTAAGTGGTTCTTCTGCCTCAGCCTCCCCAGTAGCTGGGATTACAGGTGCCCACCACCATACCCGGGTAATTTTTGTAGTTTTAGTAGAGACGGGGTTTCGCCATGTTGGCCAGGCTGGTCTCGAACTCCCGATCTCAGGTGATCCCCCTGCCTCAGCCTCCCAAAGTGCTGGGATTATAGGCGTGAGCCACCACACCCAGCCACTTTTGTTGTTCTTTTGCGTGTTTTCAATAATTAATAAGACCAATTTGTTTTTTTAAAAGGATGGCTGGGTAGAAGTAGGCTCCGGTTTAAGTTGGCTAAGTGGATAGGGATTCTGGGAGCAGGACGGCTGCAGGGCTGTTGGTGGTGGGGAACTCAGGGCTGATGGTGGTGGTGAACGTGTGTGACTGCTGGAAAGCATCTGGGACTCAGTCGTCTACATGATCACTCCATGGGCCCTCTTGGCCACAACATCTATCTGTTGTCCAGGCTCCCTCCAGGCCATCCCTAGCCCCGTCTGCAACAGACACCATCCCATACATTCGACCTGTACTCACCCCATTCCCATTACAGACCCGGACACCACACCAGACCTGGCCAGCTTTCAGCTGTCACTCCCTACGCAGAGCCGTAATAAAGAAATCACTGTTTTCAGTTGACAAAGAGCAGATTTCTTACTAAGTAAACACTGACGTTTTGGTAGGGAAATTAAGTTATAAAATTGTGCCTACAAAGGAGGTAATACAGATAGACTTGGTTACAATCGAGCCACATGGCCCACAACAGTTGATTCATTCACTCACCCTTTATCAGCTTTCCCCGGGGAGCAGAATAAGAAGGTTATCAGCTTTTGCAAACAGAAAACTCAAAAAGCATAAAAGATAAGAGGGGATTATCAGGGAGACGTTTTTTCCTAGCAAAGTGAAGACTTTGGAGCGGGGTAGGGAGGGGAGGAGTGAGGTGCGGGGTCTGGAGGAAGCCTTGGGTTTGCTCCTTCTGTCCAGTGGAACCAGGAATGTGTCTGGGTCCGGGGAGGAGGCCCTGGGGGAGTCGGTCCTGCTTAGGCCCTCTCCAGGTGAACAGCGCCACTGACCTCCGAGTACACGGGGCCTTTGTCTGTACCAGAAGCCGCCCTTGGCTGAGCACTGCTGAACCGAATCTTCCAGAAAGTCAAGGGTTTAAAGCCATGGGTGGGAAGAAGGAAACAGGAGAGTAAGATGTGCAGTCTTGGGAGTGGGGGTTGTGGGGGAGGCCTTCGTTAGTAGGAGAGATTTCATTATATTTTGCTAGAGGCCTGGGTTTTAGCGATGAGAAAGGGCCTGGGTGGCCGGCGTGCTGGATAGAAACTCCTCCACAGTGAGATTCTTAAACTCTGGCCCAGCCTGCCAAAGTGGTGTGTGGAATTTCCTTTCCTGGATGCCTGTCAAAACTAGCTGGTGAATCCTGAGCAGCTCAGATGTATCTCTTCTTAGAGGCGGGTATGCTGCTACTTTTACCAAGCCTTCATGAGAATGTGGTTTGAGAAGATTCCCCTCCTTAGTGGCACTGGTGTCTGCCTGGAAGTGGAGGCCCCTCACTGGAACAGGGCAACCCTAAGAAGGTGGTGGGGCCCTTGGTGGGTGGGGCTGGGGAAAGGCTGGGAGGTGGGGGGAGCTTTCATGCCTCCCTGCTGATAAATGCTTTCTGTTCCTGTATTCCTGGTGCTCTGGGCTCCCCAAACCCCTCTTCCAGCATACCACCCTGTCATTTTGCCCAATTTCTGCCCTCTCCCCAACCAGATCATGGGGTCTATGTGGGCAGCAAGACTGTGCCTCCTGGAGGTGGAAGGGGCATGAAGTTTGAGAAATTAGTGGGTGCAATGCACACTATTCAGGTGATGGATACTCTAGAAGTCCTGACTTCACCACTACAAAACTCATTCATGTCACAAAATTGGACTTGCATCCCATACATTTATACAAATAAAAATTCTATTAAAAAAGACTGTGCCTCCTTGGGTCCACATCCCCGGTGCCTGGCATGAGGCTGGCACACATGGTCCCTGGGTGAGTGTCCTCAGAGGAACGAGTACTAAGAACATATCCCACTGCGTTAAGCAACTCTGAACTCTTGCTCTTTTGTTTGGGCAGCACAGGCCAAGTGTACATTTCAGAGGTGCAGTCCTGGAAGGAGAGGATTGAGGGATGGGGTTCCTGACATGTCCAGCACACTTCTTGATGGGCACCAGACATGCTATCAATGCTGCAGTGCTGGCTGCAGTGAGAGAGGCTTGAGGGCAGCAGCAATTTCTAACCTTTTCAAGCAGTGCCCCAGGGGCAGGGCACTGCTCACATTTTCCCTCAACACATCTTGACTCGGGCTGGCAGGAGTAGTCTCAAGTGACAGCACTTGGAATACAATAAATCCAGCAACCACGAGTTACACTGAATAAATGAATGCATCTGGCAGTGGCATCAGCTTCCACTGAGCGGACAATCTGAACATGCGCAGTCTAAGAGGACTCCCCGCCTCAAAGGCCAATCCACCCCACCAATGCCTAAAACTTTACTGTTAGTGAATAACTCCTTTGGGTTGATTACTGTTCTGTTTCCATGTCTGCAGACAGAAGCAACACACTGCAGCCCTGAGAAGCACGGCGAGACTCTCTTTCCTCTCTGAGGACAATCATGGCACAGGGAAGAGCTCTGGCTTGGTGGGATCTCACAAGCTGAGCAATCTTGGGGAGTTCTTAAATTCTGGGAACCCCCAGTTCTCTCCTCTATGAATCGAGGAGAAAATCCCCCACCTTACAGGGTGTTGGGAGGACTGAATAGGACACCACTGGCCCAGCACCCTGCAGGGTGTCTGCAGTGAAACGTGGCTTTCCTTCTAATGTCAGCAGGGCAGTGATGAGAGCAGGGCACTGTCCGCCACTTGGTATGTCCCAGGTGTGGTTCTACATGCTTCACAGACACCCATCTAGTCCTCACAACCATTTCATACAGGGAGCCACTATGTCCCCATTTTAGAGATGGGGCCACCGAAGCTTGTGGGGCTAAGCAAGCCCAAGGATGTAAAGAGTATAAGCAGCTAGGCCGGGCGCGGTGGTTCAAGCCTGTAATGCCAGCACTTTGGGAGGCTGAGACGGGCGGATCACGAGGTCAGGAGATTGAGACCATCCTGGCTAACATGGTGAAACCCCGTCTCTACTAAAAAATACAAAAAACTAGCCGGCCAAGGTGGCGGGCGCCTGTAGTCCCAGCTACTCGGGAGGCTGAGGCAGGAGAATGGTGTAAACCCGGGAGGCGGAGCTTGCAGTGAGCTGAGATCCAGCCACTGCACTCCAGCCTGGGCGACAGAGCGAGACTCCGTCTCAAAAAAAAAAAAAAGAGTATAAGCAGCTTAGGCAAGTTGTGAGCCCAGGCCTCAACCCTGTTCTGTCTACATCCTGGGGGTATGGAGGGGAAATGTCCGACAGTGGGGGCCCTGAGGGACAGGAGAGGAACTGAAAAGGTCATCCCGATCTGCCGCAGCCCCTCCCCGACTGCACGCCCGCCTCGGCCAGCACATTAAGATTTGCTCCACTCCCCGGCCCCTCCTGCTCTTGGCTGACCACCACGGCTCTCTCCAAAGCCCAGAGCCAGGCAGCTCCTCTTCTGTGAGGGATTGGCGTTCAGCAAAGATCAAAGACCAGGCCATCTTATCAGACACGCTCCTCGTTAAACTTTTACAGGCCAGATTCCATTATAAATGAGCGTCTGTCCCACGCAGCCCAGCGAGTGCATTCTTGGCTTTGGGAATCTGAAGCTCTCAGAGCTGGGGAAGATTTTAGCAAGGGGTGGGGGACCAAAATGCCCAGTAAGTAATCTATGCTACTCACCAGGAGTGTATCACTGGAAAGGCGGTCAGCCTTCCCAAGCCTCAGTTTCCCCAATTATGAAGTGGGAGTGAGAGCACTGCCTTCCTTGCAGGGAGGGTGACATGACATGAGCCGGGGGCTGGGCACAGACTCCTGCTACTGCTTCTCTGCTGGTCTGACCTGAGCATCCCACAGCCCAGAGAGGGGAAGGGGCCTGCCTGATGGGGTCTCAGGGCCGTTTACATCACAGTGAGCCAAGGCTCCACATCTAGTCAGTCTACCCTCAGACAGCTGTGGAAGGAGGGTTTGCTGCCCGACACATCGCCTGGACCCAGGGTTTCCGGGCTCCCTGTCTACCTGCTGTCCAGTTGCTCTGAAGAAGCGGTCAACAACAGCTGGTTTTAAGGAAGAGCTCCCTGGAGATGGAGAGGCAGTGTGGACCCATGTGAAAAGGAGGGACAAGTTGCCTGGTGAGTGACGCTGGGCCCACCCAGCAATCTCATCCCAGGGGGCAGGTGGACATGCCCTTCGGAAGTCTCCTCCTTCCTCTAGGCTCTGAAAAGAAAGAAGCATGTTTGCAGAGGGAGGAGAAGGTTCTTCCCAAAAAACAAACAAAGCCAATCCTCTGAATCGTGAACCTCGGGTGCTGTGCCAAGAATCAAGAAGAAAATATCTTTCTGCTCAACCCACCCGCCTCAGTGAATGACTGAGGACAGAGTCATAAGGGCCCAGGATGACACTGGTGACTCACAGGCTGAGCAGGCTGCTGTGTTCATTAATCTCATGGCGAATGGTGCAGTCTTTATGGGACACTGACCTTGGAAAAAGCAATCTTCAAATCCCCCCAGACTGGAAAGTTCATGAGTTCAGCCCTGTAGCAGCAAAGAAACTACTCTCTTAACTGAAGCACACCGACACCGGGCTAAACATCCCCATTAACAAGCAGTCTCGGGGACCAAGTGGGGCTGCAGACACTCTTAATGCCGTCTCTGGAGGCCCTGGGTAACGCGCATTGTACGTGACCAAGCGTGCGGATGAAAGGGAGGTGAGGCCCCCATGCCCACCAGCTGGCATTCACTCTCTTGCCCTAACATACCTGGGCCTGGGTTGATAGCTACAACCCTGAGCCATCTGTGCCTGCAAGAGCCCTCTCGTCTTTCCTCCGGGAAGGGTGGCCTTGGGCCGTGACTGCCAATGCAATGCAAACCAACTACAGCTCAGGATCAAGAGATCGGCAGGAAGCCATCAGCAGTGGTCAGGTTGGGGGTGGAGTCATGGATGTCAGAGGTCAGAGGGTGCCAGGCAGGAGGAGAAAGGAAGGCTGAGATACTGCAGCTGTTCCCACCCCATACACTCACTGCCTTTTGCAAGCTGAGAACATGAATAAGTTTAGGTCAACATGGAGGGACTTGTCTGTGAACGGGTTATCATGAGGAACCAGGGGATTTTTAACAACCCGTGTTTTGGCGGTGAGGCGCTGTCAGTGATGAGTCCAGAAAGACAACAAGCAGCTCTGGGCCTGCTTTCCCGAAGGTCAAGCAAGCAGGGGGGCCTGCAGCGGTCCCCAAACGCTGGCCTGTGGGTGCCTGTAAATAAGCAGATTTTCGGGCTTCACCCTAGTCTGAAAGTTAACAAGAACTCCTGGGGCCAGGGCCTGAGAATGGGCATGTTTAAGACGTACCCTGTTTGTTCAGATCTGCAGCCAGGTTTGGGAACCGCTGCACGGGGCAGTTTCTATACGCCCTTCTGGGTGGAAAGCAGCTGAAATTGGTCCTTTCTGAAGCCCCAGGGAAGGGCAGGGCAGGGCAGGGTTGGAAAGGTCCTCAAAAGCAACATAGGGAGCTGAAGGTCCACCCCACCCTCCCGAACCAGGAGCATGGACTTCTACATTCCCCTCCAGGACACAAGTTAATGTTGGCCCAGGGCAGGCCGGACTCATGTTTGTGTGACCACATACACCGAGGAAATGGGGAGCACCAGCTAGGGGACCCTTCCTCGTCACACCTTAGCCTTGCTCCCCATGACACCCTGGCAAGCCTATTTCTGGGAGGCAGGGGGCCCAGAGGTCGTCTGAAGAGTTTCTCTTTCCTATTAGCATCACAAGATTGGAGAGCCTGCTGGGGGTGTCTGTCTCTATTCACAGCCGGCCTTCTCTTCTCACCCTTGTGTGGACTCTTGGAGACTTAGGGATGTCCCCATGGGAGTCTCAAGAGAACTTTACTTGACCAGCAATCACACCCCTGCCCCATTTGTCTCCCCATCCCTTGTGGTTTGCGCAGCCCAAAGACACTGCAGCAGGAGTCCACGGGCGGCGACTTTCCTCCCCCGGAACCACGCGAGCATCAGTAAGCCATGCAAGCCTGCTGTGAGTTTGAACCTTAAGTGACTGGGAAGGGTGCTCTGCAGAGGAGTGGGCGTGGGTGTCTGTGAGGAGACCACCGAGCCGGGCTGGGCTGCGTGGCTATCTTCACGCCAACCTCCATGCCCTGCCTTCCCCACGTGCGGCTGCCTATTTACAGTCGGGTGGTCAGCCCTGGTCCTGCTCCCCTCTCCCCAGGGCCACTGTAGCAGCTCTGGCAGGTCCTCTCACCACAGCTCCCATCCTTCTCCTGTCCATTCCCTAACTACTCCTGTAGTTGCCTGAAAATAAATCTGACCACTCCCTGCTGCTCCTGGTTGCCAAATGGAGGAAGTCCAAATTCCTCAACGGGTGGAAAGAAAGATCCCCTCCCCACGCCGCACCACAGCACTCCTTCAGCCCATCCCCCACCTTCCACGCTGCAGCCCCCGGACAGTCCACTCTCCCAAGGACATGCTGTGGCCGGCCTCTGCCACCCAGTCTCCCAGCCTGCCACGGCCCCTTTCTCAAATCAGCAAGGGAGGATAACAACAATGATCATGACTGTTGCTCATATCCATTGCATGTTTCCAAAGTGTTCTAGATGCTTTACTCACATTACCCTGTTTCCTTCTCAAAATAACTCAGTTGGCTGGTTTCTGTGGGTTGTCTCAGCGAATCTGGCCCTTCTACACATGAGAGAGCTGAGGTTAGTTAATTCATGTTAACCACGGCTAGGGGGTTCAGCAATGGGTCCCAGGGAGGGTAGCCTGGCGGGTTGAGAACTGACGATGGCAGGCTCTTGGGTGATAACCAAGGTACTCTCGAGGGGCAGAGGTCAGGGCAGAATGAGAGAATGCAGGGAACACCTCTCTGGAGCCTGCACACACCAGGTGCACCCTCCCTGGAGCTATCAGGATCCTGAGAGGGAACGGGGAGGGGGTCTTCATGCTTGAACAGTGGAAAGCAGGAGGTGCAAGGGCTGAGTGGTGGGCACACCCACGAAATGGTCACGAGTTCAGGACAGCAGGCAGAGGCTCAGGCTCAGCTGACACCGAAATGAGATGACACCGCACCTCATTTGCTGTGCAAACATCTGTGTAATTAGACACATTTGGTGCTGGCAGGGAGAAGCGGGCTACAACACGGGCTTGATGGATCGGGATGCTCCACCAGGCTCCAACCACATTCATCATGGAAGCAGAGCCACGGGGCCATTTTCCTCACAGGCTTTGTCCTGGTTCCCACCCGGGGCCCTGGGGGCGGAGGAGGTGAGGGCTTGGGCTTGCCAGAGCCCAGGGCCAGCCCTGAGGGTCTTGCTGTGTCCCCCATCCGGCCTGGCCAGAATCAACTGTCCTGAGGATAGTATGGAGCTGCTGGCAGCCCACCCCAGCAGGACGGGGTAGGGATGGAGGGCTCTGGGAACACCATGCTGCTGCCCATCACTGGGGCTTAACCAGACTAGGCCCTCCTTGGCTGGGGAGGAGATCTGCACCCCAGAGCCTCATCTCCTTGCCCTCACAGAAGTAACTACCTTGCAGGGATGTCACATAGAAGTCACTGTGCCTCTCTGAGCCTCAATGTCTGCATCTGCAAGATGAAGCTTAATCCCCATCTCATAGAGCAATCAGGAAGATTCACCAGTACAATACACCAGGGCCCAAGGCCATGCCTGGCCTGCTGCAGACTCATGCAAATTATAAATATGCTTTACTGTATTCTACTGGTTGATGCCAGACTCCACACTGGGGCTCAGTGATCCCAAATAACCTGAATAACGCCCCCCAAGAACACCCACACCCTAATCCCTGGCATTTGTAAGTGTTTCCTTCTATGGCAAGTGGGACTTTGGAGACGAGACTACTTTAAAGATCTTGAAATGGGAGCCACAAGTGGATTATCCCAACAGGCCCGAAAGGCAATGGCAGGTGTCCTTAGAAGAGAGAAGCAGGGGAGAAAACTCCCACAGACCAGGAAGAAGGTGAGGTGAGGACAGAGCAAGAGGGAAAAGGTGACGTGTGTGAGGATGGGGCTGTAAGCCAAAGAATGCAGGCAACCTCCAGAACCTAGAAATGTCAGAGTCTCTCCTGGAGCCTCCAGAAGGAACCAGCCCTGCCAACTCCTTGATTTTAAGCACCATTAGACTTATTTCAGACTTGCAACCTCCAGAACGATATGAGGATAAGTTTACATTGTTTTAAGCCATGAAATTTGTGGTAATTAGTTACAGCAGCCTTAGGAATCTCTTCAGGAATCCAACTAGTGAAAGAGCTGAGTAGGCCAGGAGGGACAAGGCTGTCCCTGCAGGCCTCTGGCTGGGCCACCCCTCCCTGCTGCATGCCAGCATCCATGGCCCCCTTTTCCAGGTACTCTGCTCACACCCAACCCTCACTGCCCAGGGAAGGAAGCAGGCCCTACCCAAAGCTGGAGCATAGCAAAGCCTGGTGAAGACCCAGGCCCCTTCCTGGCTGAGGGCTCCCACCTGCACATGGAAGGATGGCACTGAGGGTCCCTCTTCTCAGAGGGGGCTCTGCCTGCAGCCAGGGCTCTCAAGCCAGAGTCTGCAGCTGCATTACCTGCAAAGCATGGCATACATAGACACAGGCCCCTTCCCCCGAGTCTCTGACTCAGTGGGACGGGGCTATGGCTTGAGGATCTGCATTACCCACAACAGACTTGCAGGGGGCACTGCTGCTGCTTGGCCAGGGGTTCTGGGAGCGACTGGACTCGGGGCAGTGCCCTAATGAAGAGCTGAGGTGCTGTCAAGAAGGGCTCAGCTGGACTCGCCCGAGGGACCCGTGGTCCATACTTATGCTCCCACAAGGAAGGTCAGCATGCAATGGAGGGCCTGAGCTCAGGGGGCTGGAACTTGATTTCTAACTTCCAAAGTGGGTGAGCCATAGGGTTAGTCATCTACCCACTCTGTGCTGCTTTGGCTCCTTCATTTGTAAAATGGAAAAACACAAAATGACTCTCTTTTGGGTTGTTGAGAAGATTAAATGGCATGAACACATAAAAGCATTTATAGCAGGGCCTGTTCACAAGGTCAGTTATGATGAGGAATGGTGGTCATCACTGTTGGGGTCTTCCTACACTTCGGGTGGTGCCTCTACACGCTTCAGGTGTGTAGGGAGAGGTGAGTCAGGACACTCACCTGCAGGGGGAAGCAGTCCAGCATGGACTCTCTCTGCACGAAGCTCTCAGTATTGCCCGGGTCTCCTGACCAACATCCTGTGCCGGAAGCACTTTGAGGCAGGCCTGCTCTGCCCAGGATCCGTGTCACCAAACAGCCAAACATGACTCGTGAGCAAGAATCAGCAACAGCAACCCCCTCCCAAATAGGGACCGAGCTCCCTGGGTGCTCCCAGGAGTCTCAGACGCCACCGACTGAGCAATTTTTGGGTGGCCCAACTAGTTCCAAACACAGGCACCTTCCAGAGGCTTCTCCGGCTGTGGCCTCAGTCACCTGCAGGTGGAGGCGCCCTGGAGGTGAGCAGAGGGTGGAAGTCACCCCAACACCCACTGGGCAGACACAAGGCTGCTGTGGCGGATCCTAGTCAAGTGAGAACCAGGTACACGCACTGAAATAAAACAAAAAGCTCCCGACATGTCAACAGGACACAGAGGACAACTGGAAAGGACTCCTAATGGCCAAATCTGGGACAATTGGAACAACATAATAAATAGTGATAATCACAGAGTATAAATAACCATGCATCCATCTGCATAACAATAGACAATCAAATATATAAAGAAATGTGGGAGGTGGGACAGCTTTTCCTTACAGGAGAATTCCAACCACTAAATGTGGACAAAATGATAGAAACAGAAAATCGCCATTTGGCAAACACTAGTAACGACTGTTTCTGGCAAGAAGCATCAATGGATGTGTAAGTGAGTGGGTGGAAATATGATAAGAAAAAGGATATTTCCATATCCTCTAAGGATTACCCCACAAGATACTTCTTGATTACGAATGGGACAACTTTAAAGCGGAGAAGCCAGCAGACAGCCTCATGACCAAGTGATCAACGTTTCCAGCAATGAGAAGCCTGAAGATCATAGGCCTCCTGACAGGACGCCTGCAAAGGACACATATCGCTTTTACAGTATTATTCCCAAAATGCATGACCCAATGTCATCATGAAACAGCATCGATCAGGCAAACCCAAACCCAGAGACATCTTATATAGTAACTGGCTTGTACTCTTTAAAACTGCCAAGGTCATGAAAGACAAAAGAGACTAAGGAACCGTCCCAGACAGGAGATGATGAAGGAGTCTCGACAACCAAGTACCACGTGGGGTCCAGGACTGGGTCTTGAACTGGGTAAAAAAGACACTAGCGGGCAACTGAGCCAATGTGGATAAGCTCTGCCGGTGAGTTAACCGCATTCTGTCCATCTCGGGTTACGTAAGATGCCAACATTTGAGGAGCTGCATGAAGTATATACAAGAAAGCCTTTATGGTTTTTGGAACTGTTTTTGTACAACCTTCATTATTTCAAAGTAAAACATTTAAAAGTAAAACAATTTTTAAAAAGAAAGGAAAAGTCCCAGGTTTGCTCCGTCTTGGGGAGGCAGTGGGTGTCCTGAAACAGGACTCTGCTCAGGCACGATGCTGTGAGCACAGTGAGGGCCCAGCGAGTGTTGACTGACTTCACTGGGATGGGAGATGGTAGAGGCAGGAGGATGTGCCTTCATAGGTGGCGGGCGGGGAGAGGCTCTCTCTCCACTCAGCGAGTACTGGTTGTACACCTATTCATGTCAGCCATTGAGACACAGAGGTGGGAGGAGAGTTCGGAGCCGGCTGGGAGACAGGCGCAAAAATGGATGATGATCCTGTGGATCCAGGGCAGCAGCCCCCACTCAGTGTGAAGGATCACAGTGCCCCTGAGGAGGTGACTCCTTAGTTGAGGCTTGGAGGTGGCCTGATAGGGGGAGGTTCCAGGCACATTGGGCAGACAACCAGCCCCAGGCACAGAGACACGGGACAGAACCAC